CGACCGGCTCCGGGGGGTCGCGCGCGACCGCCGGGCACCGCCGCAGCCCTCGGGTCCAGGCTCTGCAGCCCGGGGGTGGCGGGACCGCCCGGTTCCCCAAAGGAGCTGCGGGACAAGTTTAACCTCCAGGGTCTTTGTGCCGCAGCGTCCACGGGCTGCGCGAGCGAGGCGGTCACACACGCACAGAAAATGTGTCCTTTGACCACAGACAGCTTTTTTAATGACAATTCCATATAAGGGTTTATCTGTGTAGCGCAAACGCTAAAAAAATCCACAGTGGTCTCCGACCAGCTGGCCCAAGCATCTGCTAGAGCCACCAAATGCAACCATATTACTCCCAAATGAGACGTAAAAATATCTTGTTTCCAACGCTCTTGGCGTTAGGACTCCTACTCGAGGTGCTGCGGGCAGCGCGGCGGGGCCGGAGCGCGGCGCTGCCCTCCAGGGATCACCCGGCGGGATCCGCGCCGGGACCGCGGCGCTGCTCCCTGCGCCGCGCAGACACCCCACGGCCACGCTCACGCCATGTTTTAAGAGGGGGAAGAAATAGATTTATCAGCACAGGACACAGAAAGTCACTACATAATTTAAACAACAAAGCTATATGCACAATAAAAGGCCTATGGTAAAAACCCTGCATTTTAATGAGTGTTAATTCCCGTAATGATTTACTCTACATGTTGGAGAGGGTCGAGTCAATGTCTTTGCAAAGAATTCAATTAAGCGCCACCGCTGCTGCTTTCCGCGAGCCTTTTGTTTGCCTTGGCTCTGTCAGGCTGTTTGTCACTTGTCCCCTGCCCAGACTGCGGGAAACAAAGGGCAGCGTCAGGGCCCAGGGCAGAGGAGAGGGACCCCGCGCCCGCACCCAGCCCCGTCCTGGCCCCGATCCCGAATCGGGCGGGTGCAGGGAAGGGACCTGGTCCCAGGAGCGTCCGCGCGCTCCCGTTTCCGCCGGCAGCTCGTGGGTGCTCTGCGCTCGCGCGGGCTCCTTCTAACTGCACTTCAGCCTAAGGAGCACAAAGGGGTGGCAAACTGTCGTCTCCTCCGACCTCCGACGCGACGCAGGCGCGAGTTGGCTTTCAAATGACCAAACTGTCTATTCCATTGTGGCCGAGTTAAAGAAAAAGAAAATTAAAACTTCACTTAAAATGTGTTTTTCTGATGGAGCAAGGGCACACCAACTAGGTGTTACTAGCAATCTCCGCAGCCGGCGCTAATGGCATTCCCTGCAGGCTCCCTGGCTCCGGGCGCATCACGGCCGCTGCCGGGCCGCGTTCCGGCTGTCCCAAGCGCCCTGGGCCACCACAGCCCGAGCGGCAGGAAGGGCAGGGACGAGGAAGGGGCAGGGACTGCCCGGGACGCGCGGCTCCGCGGCGCCCGCCCGCCGGGACGCACGACGTGCGGTACCACGAGACGCCCGCGGTGACGGTCCCCTTGTGCAAACTCCTCCTGCCACCACTCCTGACACAGCAACGTGCCGCCCTCCTGCAGAACTGCCTGTTCAGCACGTTTCTGCATTATGCCTAATTTTGTAAGGGTTTTCCAGTCCCACATAACGACACAGTTCAATGCAAAATCAGATATAAATCCAGCCTAAGAGACTCTCAACAGGAATTCATTTAAAACTGTAAATGTTAAAGGATTCTGCGTCTGATTTACGGGGTTTTCTTCTTTCAAAAGGGAATTAAAATCCTTCTGGAAAGACGCTCACTGAATCAGGGCACAGGCCGCAGGGTGACGCTGCCGGACGGGTGGGGGGACG